CTACCCGATAGCTTAGGGAGTGGTTCCTCAATCTGGGTATGCTTACCTTGTAATCCCATACATCGGGATTAATGTTGCTACTTATGGGCCTTTATATACCCATCACTAACTTTGCCAAAATCCCTTTTTAACTTTGTCCAATTTGGGTAGAAGACTTCTCTTGCCTTTGCAACTTTGAACGTTTGGATAGCACCTCCTATCTATCATTCGCTAGGGACTTAGTCCCTTAGGCTTTATCTAATGCCCTCACGACACTAAACACCACTTCCTAGTGTTTTAGAGTGTTTGGGTGTCCCAATGGTGGCCTTTTTTGGTAATGAGCATTCCCTTTACAATATTAACTTACTATATCACAACATAAGCAATTTATCCTTTATAAGGGTATGTTTAACTTCTTTATCCCAATAAAAAATCTTAGGTAGTTACCTTCTACTAGTTTAATCAATTATTTTGCACCTTTTTACTTAGTTACCTCATAGTTGTCAAGTTCTACAACTCATTGCTAGTGCTTCCACACCTCCATCATTATTTTGGGTCATCACACTCTAACCGCATGCCTTTCAGCTTAAGCTATGCCATTCCCATTTCCATTAGAATTCCTTTAGGAAGGGGTTGTCATGAACTTACCAATTTGACCTCAAAGCATCATGCCTTGGCACATTCGGTGTCTTCACACCATCAGCTCCACGAGCTTACCTTTATGACACTTTTTACTTGTATATAGGTTTTTGTCAAGACCAATACAATCATTTTTCATACCAATTATCCATTAGTATTGCACTATATAATTTCCACACAACTTTGTGTCAAAATTACTTTCTTCTGGGAACCCCTTTCCCGTAACTTTAATATGGCACATTTTGCCATCAATGAGGATACCCATTGTTCTCACACTTGGATCCTATGATCCTTCCTATACTTCCAACACACCTTAGTCCAAATGCTTCCATCAGTCCTCTAGGACCATTCCTTGATTCCACTTGAGTCATCTAGCTTTTTGGACTTTACTAATTCAATGACGTATAAAGTCCCATTTTTGAGGTGCCAACTTGTTAAAATATAATTTTTTGTATTCATGTCCTACCTATAAGGATAATTTTTGCAAATGTTACTCCTACACTTGATTATTCTTTGTTCCATATAGGCTACCTTTGCCCCTTTAGGACTAATTGTCTATATAATAAAAATACCAACTCATCCTCTAAGTACACCCCCAATCCCTTGAGTTGTTCTAGCATTTATTATGGGTAGCCCTGGCTACCATTTCAAGGACTTGTGTGTCCTCATCCATATTTGACCTCTCACAGTCATTAATTCTAGTTTCAAATTCATGAGCACTAACCTCAACTATATGAGGATAATCTTGTAACTCCTTCATTATTTTGGAGTCTTTATGTTTCCCGTGATCCCAACTATAGTTGTTTATCACAACTACAATAGCCAGTTTGCTAAGTCAAACGCTCATTTGGATCACATCCTCAACTCTCTGAGGAAAACCTTATACTATTCCCAAAATCCTAAAGTCATTCCATTATTAGCCCTTTTTTATCCACCACGTCACCTACAAGTTCGGACATGAACTATAGTGGAAAGCCATATCTCCCCACGAAGTCCCCTTTCTGTCCATGGCTGTATTTGCCAATACTGCCACTAGGACAAAGCCCACAGGCCTGACCACTAAGTCCCACTGTCCTTTGGGACTTCCTCACCACATAACCATATCCTTGGTCATTACACCAAAGGATTGCTCCTTTTTCTTTCCACCATCTGGGTCTCTGGGACAACATTTCGGAACACCGTGGCCCTATGTGAGCCTCGTGGGTACTCTCCCCACCTTCTGCCTTTGGGTGCTCTAGCCATGGGCTTAGAGCGAGGTTTCATTGAGCCATGCCAGGTATCCAAGTAGGTATTGCCACCCATGCTTGGATTGGGAGCATCGACCATTCGATCTTCCAAGGGAACTACACCCAACTCTTGAACACCTCACCAAGTTACCACATTTGTCAGTCTATATTCACTCTAGCCTTGGACTTCTTAGTGATCATCTCATCACCCAACAACTGGGTATGGCTTTCCTAGGCTAAACTGGCCTTTCCTGGCCAAATGGGCTCCACTAGGCTCCAACCCCCACACTCTCCCTACTATACTTCTGGAACCCCTTGAACCCCCCCCCCCCCCCCC